ATGTAAAACTCACAAAAAAGTGGACTTACAAAAGTCCACCGTTGTAAAGAAAAAAGGCAGTGATTTTTGAAATCACGTTCGAAAAGTCTGAACGTTTAGATCCAAACCTCCCGAATGAACCTCGTGATGTCGAGCCCAGCGGTAATATTTCTATGACACATACTCCACTTTATGGTTTTACTTCAATGCCGGTACCATAATCGATATACAGGGGCGCACAGTTCGAAGTAACAATGGGGTGCGCTCACCCCAAAGAAGTACATCAGGAGGGGATCGAGGGACTTCCGTTCCACCTTTAGTCCCTGCCAACAACCTTCTGATCCATTATGGCTATCACTTTTCATAAATATCATTACGGTGCTCCTTTCCGCTAGCTCGAAATGTTTATGCTAACACTTGCTTCCCCTTAATCTCTCATCCCATCTCTCGGATGAGAGATTTCATCGATGCGTGCGTAAAGTGATTAAGATTACCGCTTAATTAAGGTTAATCAAACGTTGAAGCAATTGGGTCTCGGTCCTTTGTGCCACTTATATCAGCGACTAGCTCTCCTGACATTTTACGATGGTCGGTCATTTAAACTGTTGGTTCGGATCATCTCATCCGGCTGCGTTTTAGCTTCTCATTTTCATTCTCTTTGTGATGGACCACGAGGTGCTCCTTCCTCGTTAAGATGATGTGAAAGTGGCGTAGAAGAGGTTTTGTTTATAAAACTTCTCTCCCAACTCGGTTTACCGAATAGTTTGAAACTTTACAACGTGAATAGGGAAACTATAGGGAAGCTCCTGAAACTCATGAAATTTCAATTCTTTGCAAATTTGTTTATGGGTATTTTAAAAATAGTTTATAAAAAATGAAATTTGGCGAGTTTCAGGACCTACCTTAGGGTCTCCACATTCACGTTTTAAAGTATGAAACGATTTGAGCCACCTAGTTCGTAGAAAAGTTTTATGAACGATTGAGCTTTCGGATGCCGCTTTCACATCCCCTTAAGGTGATGTGAAAGTGGCGTAGAAGAGGTTTTGTTTATAAAATTTCTCTCCCAACTCGGTTTACCGAATAGTTTGAAACTTTACAACGTGAATAGGAAAACTATAGGGAAGGTCCTGAAACTCATGAAATTTCAATTCTTTTCTATTTTGTTTATAGGTATTTTAAAAATAGTTTAGAAAAAATGAAAATTTGCGTGTTTCAGGACCTAATTTAGGGTCTCTGTATTCACGTTTTAAAGAATGAAACGATTGAGCTTTCGGATGCCACTTTCACATCCCCTTAAGGTGAAGTGAAACGCGTCGAGAAACTTGATCGACGTCGATAAAAAAGATTTTTCTAAATACCTACGTTGCTGACGTTCGCTTTTATACTGAAAGCTGTGTCGAATTATATTGAGTATTATACCAAATGGCATACTTCACCTGTCGTTTTCGTACAATAATTATAAAGAAATCAAAGTCAAACTTCAGAAATACTCTGGATTCATGCTTTCTGGGGCCCTAATCGACTGCAGAGGGACCCCCTGCGCCATCTGTGAGTTCCAGATGAATTAAATTTTCACTCCGAGACCTCGTATTACCATCGTTTTAGCATAGAAGCGCATACAACACTTTTTTTGCCTTTATCCCGTTCAAATGCGAGTTTATCGATTACTACAGTGTTCTAAATTGTCGTAAAATTGTTCTGACCCTTTCGTTTCTCATATCAGAGCCTTCGATAATCGTATATTGATCGAAATATGAGAACTCGACGCCATTTTGGTTTTGGCCTGGGCTAAGTTAAAAAAATTTTTCCAAAAATCCAAATTTTGAATGTGTCAGAACAATTCTTAGATGATCACGAGTCATGTGTCAAAGTTTCAGACAGTTTGGTCCAATACCCTTAAAAAAAAGTGTTGTATTCGAATCGCTTGATTTGAGGGGGGTTTCACTTCACCTTAAGCGACGTATAACTTGAACATCATGAGAAATTATGTAGGTACAAAATTTGATCTTTCGCTACGTGTATTATGATACGCAAAATCATTTTTCAATTAGACGATTCTGATATCGGAAAAGTGCATTTACATGAAACATAATAAATTACGAAATACTTATTTTTAATCTCCAAATGCTCACTGATTATTGCCATTTAGATTGTTGTTATTGGAAGTGACGTAGTTGTGTATGCAGTCGTTACATATTAATCGAGGACTAATTAATTACGATTGCAATCAACAGCCGTTTTAATTCGGTTTTAATTTATGATTTTCTGCCCGATTCCGTTCTGCATCTCCCATTCCCCTTATCACACTCGTCGTTATCAGTGTTCTCGTTACATTACTCGTTAGTTGGGTGCTCCGTCGACTTCATGGAACTCAGATACTTCTTGCCGCTGACAGAGGATAGATATCTGAAGAATGTTCAGAACCCCTGTTAGAATTTTGGCATTTATAGACGAAATAACGTTTGTTTTCGCCCATCTATTTATTTATGCTGTCTAAATCTAAATCTTAAAATATCGTAAGACAATTTGAGAAGGGAAAGAGTGATAATGAAGATCGATTGTTTTTTTTTTTCTTAAGGACTATGTGTCGACCAGTTTTTTCCGCTTTTTTCGGGATTTTTTTTGTGGATCAATAAATTACACATACTTGAAATTTTTACTACGTATTTACTTGTATTTAGAGAAACTATACACATTTTTTTTAAGCAAAAATATTGTTTTTTTGGCATGCAGTCCTCGAAAGAGACCGCTGTAAAAAAAATTAGTGAAATGGCTGCCACGTTTCCAGCTGTTCTCCTCATCTGAAATCAAAAAATTGAATTGATTATTAATCTATAGACTTTTGGCTATGACTGGTACCAGAATTGAGTCAAAAAATTTGAAAATTTAAAAATAGAGCCAGTTTTTAAAATAAATTTGAAATTTTCGTATTTTTTTCGATGAATTTAGCCGGAGATAAAAAACCATGATAAAATCACTAAGATTCTGGTACCAGTTGTAACTATGTGTCTACTGAACATGTCATTCAAATTTGAGCGCAATCGGTTCAGTAATATTTTCTGAAACTTGGCAGCCAATTTGAAAAATGTGGTTTTGAGAAAAACACATTTGAAAGTTCAAGTACGCATTACAGAATGATAATTTTCACTCACCTTAAACGGCTATTACTACTTAGTGACTTCGAATACAGGGAAATCCTTTCACAGACATATAGTAGGGATGATTTGGAAGTAATTTAGCGAAAAAAAAAAACGATTTTTCGGATCCGACACATACTACGAGCCCCTTAAGATAAAAACGAATTATTGCTCCGCAATTATATGCCACAGATCTACGTTACAAAAATCATTTGTAGCCTTAAAAATAACTTGAACACGATGTTACATTTTCTTCCACCTTGTTGAGTTCCATCTTTTTTTATCCTTTTCTGACTTCAAGCATTTTAACAACACGACAGATCACATTTTTCAAATTTTTGTTCGTTGCGAGGATTCCGTTGCGTTGCTATTTGACTAAAAAACGAAAAGAAGGAAAGGAGAGAATGAGATGATAGAATACCGTTTAGCGCTAAAGAGGAAAATACTAGAAACTAATAGTCGCCGTGGCGTTTCGCATGGAAAAAGTTAAATGTTCGATTCTCTGTATCGAATGTTTGGCTTCAACGAGTAGACGACGACGATACCATGACGGTCCAATTTCTTTCTCGAGTAGAGGGAGCAAATAAATTCGCGAAACGAGGAGCAATATGAGTAGGAGGAAAGAATGCGCTCCCGAAATTTGCCCACCTATTTTAGTCACACCCTGCACAGTACGGGACGGTATAGGATAAATTTACTCGGTCATAAATCCTTAAGAGCCGAGGCAACACGACGGTTGTCGCAGACTTCTGCCTTTTAACGTCGTCTCTCGTGAGGAGTTTCGTCGACGTTCCTTGAACCGCTCGCCTCTTTCCTGGTTTATCGGCCTTTAGAAATTGTGTAGGCGGTCAAACGTATTTACGGTACCGAGAGATTTTGAAAAATGAAGGACTGCTCCGTCGTGTCAGGCCTCTTACCCATAGCACACGGGGCGTTGAGAAACGGAGTGCATCAATAGGGTACCAATCCGGTAATAAGGTGAAGTGAAACCCCTTCAAATCAGTCGATTCGAATACAACACTTTTTTTTATGGGTATTAGACCAAACTGTCCGAAACTTTGACACATAACTTCTGATCATCTAAGAATTGTTCTGACACATTCAAAATTTGGATTTTTTTTTTTAATTCTTTAACTCAGCCCAGACCAGAACCAAAACGGCGTTCAGCTCTATATTGTAAATATACCAATATTTCGATCGATATACAATTATCGAAGGCTCTGATATGAGAATCGAAAGGGTCAGGACAATTTTACGACAATTTAGAACACTCTGATAGTCGATAAACTCGCATTTGAACGGGATAAGGGCAAAAAAAGTGTTGTATGCGCTTTTATGCTGAAACGATGGGAATACGAGGTCTCGGAGTGAAAATTTAATTCATCTGGAAATCACAGATGGCGCAGGGTGTCCCTCTGCAGTCAATTAGGACCCCAGAAAGTATAAATCCAGAGGATTTCTGGGGTTTTACTTCGATTTCTTTATAATTATTGTACGAAAACGACAGGTGGAATATGCCATTTAGTACAATACCCAATACAATTCGACACAGCTGTCAATATAAAAACGAACGTTGGCAACGAAGGCATTTGGAAAAATCTTCTTTATCGACGTCGATCAAGTTCCTCGACGTGTTTCACTTCACCTTAAACTCAGTACGGTACTTGGCATCTCCTCGGATACGATTGGGAGGGAAACGGTACCACCGCAATCGTTGTCGGTACATTTCGGATCCTTCCGGATGTCGCGACGTTTATCGGCCTCACTCGCACTTGGCGTCCACGTTTACCGTCGAAAGGTCGTATCGACGGCAATTCTGAAGAGCCTGCAAGAAGCTTCTTGCAGTCTTCTGCATTCAACTAATCTGACCTTTCTTTGTTGTAGAGATCTGGAACGCGACCTGAGCCTCTCCGAGGATAGCGACGAGGATGTCGGTAGCAAGGTAAATTAACCCTCTTCGCACCTAATTATTCCATCGAGAAATTCGGTGCACTTTCGCGCTAAGCACGTTTCAGCGTTCTTTTTGCGATAGTGTCCCTTCCTTTTTCATTATAGGCTTGTGCATTAAAATCATATTCAGCATTTATACATTCCCTATATTTATTCCTTACGACGTTTTGGATGTATTTTCTGTACTTAAAAAGAAGTTCTGATTAATGTGACTACATGCGTCTGGTTAAAAGATTTTTAGTTACTTATGCGAAAGTCTGATTAACGGGAGTAGAAAATTCTGATTAGTGAAGTCTTGATTTTCTGGTTAAAGGTTTCTTGGCTATTATGTCTGGTAACATTAATTATCCAAAAATTGGTTTTCTAATTCCCAGCGTACTCACTTGATAGCGAGGGACCATGGAGCGTCTCTCACTAATAACATTAAGACGTGTCAATAAGTTGCTCATATAGCGAGCAAAGTCACGACGAGATGGTAGGAATACATTTTTAACGAAACAAAGTTTTCCTTTTACCGGAAAAACTTTTATGAAAGAAGAATATGCAGTGAATTTAAATTGGTAATTCATTATGTTTCTCTACGACGCCTCAGCCGTGCTCGATTTCATCGTACTGTCCTCAATTAGAATAAGCTATTAAATTTACCTGTACATAACGTTATCTCAACCAGATATTATTTTACTAGAAATTTCTGCTGCCTTTTTAACCAGAAATATAGTAAGGACATATTTAAAGATCCAAGTTACAGTAATCAGAATTTGGTTCTTTTAATTAGACGTTTTTCTGAATGTACCTTCCCACGGTTTATCCATTGCTGCGACGATGTTAAAAATTAAATAACCATGATTTATCGTTCTTTTAGGGAATGTCGAGGCCGACGCGAGATGCAAGAAGTCCAGATCTTACGGTCGAGTAAGTATTCACCCCTTCGGGGTATAAACGTTCCTTTAAGGTGAAGTGAAACCAGTCGATTTGAATACAACACTTTCTTTTAAGGGTATTAGACCAAACTGGCCGTAAATTTGATACATCACTCCTGATCGTCTAAAAATTGCCTTAACACATTCAAAATTTGGATTTTTTAAAGAAATTTTTTAACCTAGCCCAGACCAGAACCAAAATGGTATCGAGCTCTCATATTTCGATCGATATACAATTATCGAAGGCTCTGATATGAGAAACGAAAGGGTCAGGACAATTTTACGACGATTTAGAACACTCTGGTAATCGATAAACTCGCATTTGAACGGGATAAGGGCAAAAAAAGTGTTGTATGCGCTTGTATTCTAAAACGATGGTAATATGAGGTCTCGGAGTGAAAATTTAATTGACCTGGAAATCACAGATGGCGCAGGGTGTCCCTCTGCAGTCAATTAGGGCCCCAGAAAGCATGAATCCAGAGGATTTCTGGAGTTTTACTTCGATTACATTATAATTATTGTACTAAAACAACAGATGGAGTATGCCATTTGGTACAATATCCAATATAATTCAACCCAGCTGTCAATGTAAAAACGAACGTCGGCAACGTAGGCATTTAGAAAAATCTTTATCGACGTCGATCAAGTTCCTCGACGTGTTTCACTTCACCTTAATTTTTGAACCCAATTCCGGCGAAATCGGAAGCTCCTCGAGACTTAACGGCGTTCACCACCAAAGTGGGGACGATGACTTCCACCGCTAGATGGCATTAGCATCGAATTCGGTGGAAGGTAACCAAAACGTTCTTTCTCGCTCGGATGAGGGAGACGCGACGCATAATGGGCGGTGTTTAACAACGGGCGAAAAATGTGTGCGTATTTTGCACGCATAGGACTCACACAACGGCTAGACGCCTCTGGACTAGGCGCCGAAACGTGTGACACCCGGCCGCACGCACACGCCAGGTGGACGCTCCGCCTAGAGTCGGCAACAGTTGCCAAGGAATGCCCAAATTCCTCGCGAGAAACTCGAAAATCCTGAAAAAGGTGCTCCACGGGGACAACGATTTTGAGCGTATTTCTCCACCGATCGAGCTCAACGAGTGCTCGTTTTAAAGATAAAATGTTGACGTGTGTTTATATGGAAGCGATTTTCGATCGAGCACCTCCGTCCTAGGTAAAAGGGCATTGAAATTATGTCGTTGCACTTTTTTATATGAAAATGACCACTTATCGAAAATCGCTCCCATATAAACACATGTCAACATTTCATCTTCGATACGAGCACTCGTTAAGCTCGGCCGGTTTAGAAATACGTTCGGAATCGTTGTCCCCGTGAGGCCCTGCAAAATCGCTAGAGTGGTGAGCGCCCTTAACGTTTCTTCCTCGCTTCTAACGTCCTCGATCGTTCCAGCTTATCGGCCCCGCTGATCCCGGCGATGACCCCGGCGCCACCGCCGCTGGCTCCGATGTCGCCCATGGGGATGTCCCCGATGGGCCAGGAGTCCCCGCTGCGGCCGCTGAGCCTGCCGAGGACGCCGCCTCCCGAGGCGCCGGTGGAGCGGGCAGCGTCCCCGCCGCCCGCGAGTCCGCCCCGACAGCGGTCCCCGAGCCCCCCGGAGCAGCGGCCCCCGAGTCCCCCGGGATGCGCCCCTCAGAGCTCCGGCAGCGCGAGCTCCAGCTCGGACTCCTGCTCGGACTCCCTGTCCGACAGCAGCGACGACTCCGAGGACGAGGTACCGCCGCCGCCACCCGTAAAAGGTCCCTCCACACCACCCTCCGTGTCCCCCGAGGCACCCGCGGTGGCGGAGCCCCCACCGCCGCCACCACCGGCCGTCGAGGAGTCAAAACCTCGATGGAACCTCAGTTCCTTCTTCAACAAGAGCGCCGTGCAGGCGGGCGATCAGAGCTCCGAGAACAAGCCTCCTCAGGTACGTTCGAGCGACTCCGAGACCCCGGGCCCGACCGTCGTGGCCCCCTCGTCTTCCCCGCCGACTCGACCGGGAAAGACGTTGCCCTAATGTGCGCGAATATTTTATCGAGAACTACTCCGGGAAGAAGTAGCTTCGAAACGGGCACCTGTCCCTAAAAGAGATGTGACGTAAAACTGCAGGAAGAAAGAATAACCGTACAAGTCGTGACTTTACTAATCGTATTCTTTTTAGGGACTGGATCCTATTTCATGGCTCGTGTGGGAAGGTTTAACCCCATTTTTCGTCCGTGCGTGATTGGGACGCGATCGCGTCTTTGCGGAGATATTTTCGGTGTTTGATGAATTCTTTATAAAAGACAGGAAGCTGTTCCGTAAGATGTACCATTGCATGGTACTAATTAGAGAAAGATTTGTTTATCGTTATGTCGCATCGAAGTCATTATGTCACATATATCGCATAAATCGCATAGATCAAGAATCTGCCTTTGGGACAGTAATTTATAGTAAAAACGCAATCGCATCTTGAAGTACGCAACTTTTTAGTAACGTACATTCTTCGTCGTAAGAATTACCGATCTTCCATGTGGAGAAAGAAGCGTTAAATGTTATTTCACTTAAATTGTCGTAATTGCGTTATGAATTTACGCGAATTGATGGAAATTCGTTTAAGTGACGCGTAGTCGATCAAATCATAATCATTGTTATGTAATTGAATGAACCGTACACGTCGAATGAACTATTCAACGTATCTTGCAGATATTCGTGTTTTACGGTACTTATCGGCGATGATTCGTAGACACCACCCGAAGTCTCGTGATACCATCTTCTTTTGTTTCCAGGAGGGAATCCGGCACAATGGGTCTCCGGATGGTGCAAGCGCGGGCGTGGCGAGAGCACGCCGCGACTCGGTCCACGAGTGGCAGCTGGAAGATGGTCGAAGGGTCCCGAGCGACGCGAATCACCACTCGGAACCGAGTAAGAACCAAGTGGCCGGGGACGCCAGGTCGCAGCACGACAAGGCGAAGCCACCGGACGCGAAGAAGCGCGGCCGGCCCCGAAAATCGACCAAGAGCCCAAAAGGGCACCGCGCCGGGGCCGACGAGGTCGCGAAGAGTAAACGCAGCAGAACGCGGGTGACCAGCCCGAAGAAGAAGCGGCCCATCTCGAAGTCGACGGTGTCGACCAGCGACGACGCCAGCGACGCCCGGTCCCACCTGGGCAGCAGCGACTCCGAGAGCGACCGAGGCGGCCCAGGGCTAACGGCGTCTCCTGCCGCGGTAGCCACGGCCATTGCCGAGAAGTGCCGACCGCGACTGAGCGTCTCCTCGAGCGACGAGGACGAGGAGTCCCACGGGTCGACGAAGCGCGCCACCGTCGAGGAGGACGCCCGCTGGAGGAGGCTCGCGTTGAAGCGGAGCAAGCTCGCCGAGTCGCCGAAGAAGCAGCAGGAGAAGAAGAAGACTCCGACGAAGGTGAAACCGCGAAGACCCCGGTCTCGAGTGACCGGCGCCGCGGGTCGGCACTCGGACTCCGACAGCGAGTCCGAGGTCGCTCTGCGGAACAGCAGAATCCAGGTGGCGAGAGTCCCGCCGAGGCCCAGGGTACCGCCGGTCCGGGCGACCTCCCCGGATAATTCCGACAGCGACAACAGCCCGCCACCGAAGCTGCAAGAGGAGGGCGGCAACGTGCAGGACAAGAAGAAGAGCGATACCTTGCGTAAGCTCTTCTCGACGAGCAAGGGCGGCGGTAAGGGCGGGGGCAAGGGGGGCAAGGGCGGAAAAGGAGGCGGCAAGTGCGGCATCTACGTCGAAGAGTACACCTCGGCGAACGCCCCGACGGGCGGCGAGAGCCCCTACAAGCGGCCTTCGTCGCGGACTTCCTTCCCACCCGTGACTTACGTCAACGGCGTGCCTAGCCTCCTCTGCAGGCTGGATCTTAACCGGCTGCCCCATATACCACAGGCCTCGAGAGGTCAAGAACTACGCCAACGTACCGAGCTACCCGACACCAGGCCCGACGCCCGACCTGCCTCCGGGCAGGCCGCCCCGCTCGGCGCGCTCGCCCCACCTCGGCCGCCCACCCCGGAAGAGGGCGAGATCGTCGACACGCCGCCCCCGGAAGCCCGTACCCACGGGGCCGACCCCCTGGACAAGGCGGCTCTGCGCGCGGCCAAGGCTCGCGCCAAGACCGAGGCCCTCTCCTCGGATTCCAAGGGCTGCTCTACTCCCGTCCCGGGGACCGCCACCGTGTCCGGGGCTGGTGGTAGCGGCAACCCTAGTAGCAGTAGTACCGGTGTGCCCAACGCGAGTGCCAGTGCCAGTGGTAGCAGTGGTAACGCGCCTAAGCGGAAACGTAACCCGAGTTGCAGTTCTGTGTCTAGTTTGAGTACTGTGTGTTCCGTGGACTCGAAGGCCAAGGGGTGCTCGGAGCACAAGGAGAAGAAGAAGAGGAAACGGAAGCATGCCGAAACGGAATCGGTCACGCCGAGACCTTCGTCCAGTCAGGTAGACTTGGCGGCCGTTGAGTCGTTCTTTAATTCGCAGGGAATTCATGGAATGCCTGGAACGTAGATTTTCAGTTGGTTTTTCTAGAATCGGTCGGAGAACCTCGAGCACGGATGCCGTGACATTCTGATTCTTTTGATTTCTTAACGTTAGGAATCTGCGGGGAAGGGAACATCGATTACAGAATACCGAAGCGCTCTTTAGGGGAGCGATAGAGAATCTTGTTTCACATTTAACGCCTTTGCAAATTCCTAATTATAATAAAACACTTGGAACGGTCTTTAGGAATGGAAAGTTCTTAAAGTGAAATATTATTCGTGCCAAATTAATCCACGCTTTTATGTTTATACAAATTTTAATAATTACCATGCTTGACGGAAAGTTAATGATAAGTTAAAATGTCGAGTTACCGAGTTATCTTCTAAATACCTATCGTACTAAAATGTAGAGAATGTCAGTAGGAAGTATTGCAGAGGAACCCTTATAAAAACTTTTTCACAATTGTTTTCGACTGATATTTTTTCGTAGTCTGTTCAAATTAAATGTGAACGTAATCGTATCATGGCATGATGTATCAAGTGCACATGATATTGCTTCGTGTATTGTCCCAGGGAGAAAAATGAAGATAACCTCGCCACGATTTACGTATCCCAACGTTTAGTTAGGGAAATTTTTGTTTATTGTTGCCTGCATTATGTTTTCCGTGTGATTATCTTTGAAAGAGAAGAAAAATCCTTTTGTACGTACATCAAAGGATGTAAGAGTTTATTTGATTGCATGCACAGCAGAGCGATATTCAACCGACGAATCACGAGCGGGAAGAAAAACCGGACACTAGTCTACTCCCACCACCAGTTCCGCAACAGCGTGTCTACTATTCCTACTTCAACCCTCAGAATGAAATCGTGGAGGACCAGGATGGGTAAGCATCGCCATTCTTCGTAAAACCTTCGAGGAAGGAAAATCTTGCTAAAAGGAAATAATGAAAAAGTCTTAACGAAATTCCCTATTTATTTTTAGGGACCAGAATCAGTACCTGACGGAAGCAAAGCGGCTGAAACACAGTGCCGACGAGGAGCGCGAATTGACGGCACAAAGCATGCTATACTTGGAGGCGGTTTTGTACTTCCTCTTAACCGGTCACGCCATGGAGTCCGATCCAGTGACTGAGCGAGCGTCTTTCACCATGTACAAGGACACTCTCAGCCTAATCAGGTGATCAATTATCGTAAACCTCGGTCGATAAGGTCATAATGAAGCTTAAACCGGACGGTTCTTAATTAATCTCCTTCCATTTTTCTCAGGTACATTTCCTCAAAATTCAAGAGTCAGCAGAACAACTCTCCGGAGAGCAGCATACATAACAAACTAGCTATACTCAGGTTGGTAACGGTTACATCTATTTCTATTATGTAGCCAAATAGTGGACGAAACGATGAAGCTTACGGTTGCGAATAGTTTAGTCTAGTAGTTTGTCATTAATACGGGAAAATTGTTGCAGTTTATGGTGTCAGTCCCTCATAAACCTCAAGCTTTTTAAAATACGTAAACACGAAGTCAAGGAGTACCAGAGGATACTCGCCGACTACCATCAGAAGGTAAGATCCAATGATTCTTGACTCGAAGGTTGGGTTTACGCGAGCGGTTGATAATCAATTTCTGTATCGTTCTCAGCCGGCCCAAGCAACCCTTGTCCAGCCCGAAGGTCAAGGAACGCCTTCGTTATCGCCAACACCATCGCCTGCTGGTTCCGTTGGTTCCGTTGGCAGTCAAAGTTCTGGATATAGCAGCGGAGAGCTGGCCAACCGAGGAGGGACGTCAGGTCAGCCTCAAGCCTCTCCTTGCGTCAGTGTACCTCTAGGGGTGCATCACGCCATGCAGAAGCAACATCAACACTTCTCTTTGCTGCTGAATTGTCACGAACTTTGGGATCAAGCGAACGCCCTGGTGACAGACCGACATAGAGGTGGGTATTCTCATTTTACATAATATAGCAAGTTCCTAACTTCGTTCATACATACCATAAGCGCGTACCATTTAAAATTGTCAACTTTTACGTCAACAATGTACCCTCGTGAATTTACGAAAGCCGTTATACCAATTGACTTAATATTCGTATATTAGCTGGAAATTAAACGATTTTCTCATGAAAAAGTGACTAAAAGTTGTCAAACGTATTTATACACTTCTTATCATCAATTGTTACTTTTCTTGTTTTCACAGAAACACGTCATTTCTATTTTATATCATACCGTTACATGCTAGCTCATTTCACCGTTCCCCTGGGTACTAACGTCGTACATTTCTCGATGTTGCAGATTTCTTCATCGAGCTAGATGAGAAATACGGACCGCTGACACTGAAGAGTTCGCTCCGAGACCTTGTGCGATACGTTCAAGGCGGTATCAAGAAACTACGAGCTCTCTGACCCCAGTGGCACAGCCCCCGGCCACCCACCCCGAATTACGTCACGTCGCTCCCTCACAATATGGCCACCTACCCGACCATGTTCACGTAGCCACGCGTATGAAGATGTGATCGAAGATGTAAAAAGAAGAGAGAAGGTCGCACTTCCTCGCATTCTCTTCCATTCTACGCGAGGAGAGGAGTCGTGGTATGGGATCGTGCCTCAAGTAGGTGAGAGTTCGACAGCCCTGCGGCATCGACGAGCGTAGCCGTCGACATTGGGTCTGGGTTCGAATTCTCGAAGGAACTTCTGATTCGTTTCTTCTCCCTTCGCCTTCCTCTTGGCTTGGCTTCCTCCCTCGAAGAAGTAGACCTCGAATTCGACCCTGAATCGTTCGCTCTGCTCCGGTTTGGCGTGGCGCTCAGGTTTATCGATAGAGGAACGGGGTAGTCCCCGAAGAGCGACCGATTGGACGAGAACTGGTGCATCCCTGAGCGCGATACCGAGCCTCTAGCTCTGGTATTCTAGAGGACCGTGACCAGAGGGAAATACGGAAACGAAATCGTGCTCCGACGATTCACGGCGAGATCGGAGGGCAACTCCGCTGAAACTGAGCGGAAGGAGAACGCGCAAGCGAGGGCGAGGATCGATCGATCGATCGCTCAATCGATCACTCATCGTTTGGCCTGGGTGTTCTTTCGCGCACGGTCAAAAGATCATAGTCAATTCCCCTTTGCACCTGCCAAACGATGGAAAGAGTTCGAGATCCTCGCCCGCTGCAACCAGAGGGAGGAAGTCCACGGTACGCGCGGTCTGTTCGTTTTTCACGCAAGTTTTATACCTCGATCACCCGGGGGGCGAAAATGGATATTAATTTATCGGAACTAACCCGTTATATTCGTAAAGCGAACAGACCCTTTAGGCTTTGCGTGGCCTTCGCACAAGTGGATCGCGTAACGACGCGTGAAGTCAAGGTCGTTGAACCTACCGCACGGGTGGAGGCATCGGTCAAAGTGAGAATGTATCTCCGAAATTGAGGGAGGCAGGGAGAGGGTGGAACACAGCGAAAAGAATCGTCAGACGATCGAACGGGGAGAGGAAGTTAGACACGAGCGGGGGGTTTTGAGGGCTCGCAAAAAGTATGCACCTCTCTGTTTCAGTCGGGGCCCGCTTTTGTGAAATGTGCATAGATACAATAAAAAGTAAAAGAAGTGCCACAGGAGCGCCCGTGTGCTCTCGCTTCTCGCCGCAGGGCGCATGCAGGTTACCTGAAGCATATTTCATTAAGTAATTGATATACGCAAGAATGCAACAAGCAAGGATATAGTTTATTACGTATATGAAAAGGCAAATTATATATATACACATACGGTATATAAATATATATAAATATATACATTTATATATAATATATATATTTATATATATATTCTGTGGGAGAGAATGCGCCGTTGCGGATACATAACCGCTGACACGACATACGACATGTATAACACGTACACGCGCGCGTGTACACAAAACTTCACCATACGAATTAATGGTACTGTAAACGCTGTATGTCTGCTGACACTAACAAGAGATACAACTTGTAGATAAATGAGAGATGTAGGTTAGTCTTATTACGCAACAAAACAACACGACACAACAATACATATTATTTACATTACCTAGAGTGTACGGGGAAAGTAGTGGTTTTAGAGATGAAAAATAAAATCATACATATATACGGAAGTACATAATACGGTAAGGCAGGAGTGGGAAGGTACATTTACGAGATACATAAATGTAAGAAGTAAGTTGCTCATGTGTATATTTTTGTAAATAGGTATCGCGAGTGCCGCCGCCTTGAGGGCGAGCTTACGCCGGCCACGTCGGGTTCGCTCGCCCGCCTCAATTTTGCTACCACATCTTACCGAGATATTTTTCAGTACGGTCCCTGCGGAACTACGTATTTCTTTGCCCCGAGGAACGTTAAAAGTGATTCTCTCTCTTTGTCTCTCCCTTTATCTCTCATGCTTCCTCTTGCTCTCTTCATTTTGTTCCTAGGTTTTATTACCTGTGATGAGGAGACGTTTTCATCCGAGAAACCAAATCCATGTCTTATTTATTTACCTTCGTAGTGGAGTGAAATGTTATTTAAATTGTCATTCACGGGACTGCGGCATTTTAACGTTCACGTACTGAGGACAAAAGCGATCATGATATGATTGGTATAAATCTAATGGAACCCAGAATTTTGTACCAAACCTAAACTACAAGCTGAAAGCTTTGCGCGCCCTAAATTTAAATCAAAGGCGATGGCCAGTTAATCGTAGGTGCAGAATAATCAACTATTCCCGATAAAAGGAAGACCCTCTTCTTGGTAGATTAGTATTTCTTTTACAACGTATAATATTGCTTTCGTGGGTCATCAAGTTGTGAAAATAATTGAAAGTCAATGTAATGGGGAACGGAGGAATTAAAAACTGATAAATGTGTAGATGAAAATCCTCGTTCTCGATGAGCTCTTTGCTTTGTCGGAGATTAATCGCGTAATGCGTTGTTGCGAGGAATTGAAACCTTGCGATTTTTTTTGGAACTGAACAATTATTCAAAAGATAGAATCCACACAGATTCGGTGCAATGTGGATCCCCAAGTAACTAGCGCGGTCCAAAATGGTTCACGGGATACAATTTTATATCGAACAATTATAATGAAAGAAATTTAATAATTAGATGGAAGTTCATTTAACAAAGTTTGCGAGATCGTGTATAAGAAAAAAAAAAACAGAAAAAAGTTATATATTCGAGTATATATTTATTAAGAGATACACATATATCAGGCCCTCTGCCCACTACCAGCTCGAAACATCCTTTTATTTTTTAAAACTTCATATGTCTTATACACTTAAACCATAATGTGATATAAGTTTTGAAAATCAACGGATACGTTATAAAATAAAATAGGTAATCGATGCGGTTTTTTCTAGACGTGACGCTGATAATGACTGCATAAATCAATTAATATATTCAAAAGGTAATCAGCTGTTTAATGCATATCAAGATTTGTATCATGATAATCCTTTTTTGGTCATTTTAACCATTAAATGGTAAAGTTAAAAACTATAACGTTTGTAGATCGCCCCGATTTACCAGTTTCCTTTTATATACACTACGTTTGATAAATGAAACGTTTAATAATATCCTTATTATCATTTTGACTCCCCTTTGATGCATTAAATGTATTCAGTAATTATGTTATGTTTGCTGTGAAATTTACATTGGCCAATGTTTAACAACGTGTAAACCATGTATTGATTACTATAAAACGTATTAATCATACGTTACCAGTTAAGGATTATTTTTGTACAAATGCGAATTACACATATAAAGAAGATAACACACATGGATATCTAATACCCCAGGATAGGTACCCTGATATAGGCTAAACCACTACAGCCAAACGATTTCATGTGACAGATCAATCCTCGCGCAAACAAAAAAGTAGCAAACCGTTGATACGAATAATCTCTTTTATCCGTTTTTATTGTCGGGGGTGACATATATCCGTAATAAAGACTATATCGCAAGTCCGCCACCCGGTTCGTCATGATATACGAGTCGTTAAGTGAGTTCCTTTTGCGATTGTGAGTAATCATCACTCGGCTGTGACAAGGAGCGATGAGGAAACACTATAAGGGATAACTTTAAACGGAGAAAAAATAGAGGCAAACAGAGAGAATACTATTGAAAAGATAGGAGCCAAGCAACTGTCGTCGGGGCATTCACAGATTTATTCGTTAGTGTCTAAAACGTATATATATGTATACGTAGGTATATATATTGGTTAGACACTTAGAATATATATACAAGATGTACCAAAATTAGATGAATTCGTATACATGAAGCGATAATACGTATAAAATGATTTAATGAATGATCAATTTCAATTTTACAGCGGTCAGTAAGTTTTGCACAAGATAGGAGAGTGACTGCAGAATCGTGACTCTTTTGAAAGGAAAAGGTGCCCCTCTAAGCCAACCGATCATTAGTGGAACAGTAACGAAAACGTTGCAAAGAGTCAACACTGACGTTAGGTACATTCAAATAGCATTAAAAATAACTTATGAATGTCTTGCGCTTAAATCCATTGAAAATAACATAGATATTTTTTTTTTTCTTGAATCGCGATGCTACGATCACTGACTCTCGACTCCGTTAAAAACTTGCTCACCGAAGACAAATATAGATTGTCCACTCTCGTCGAATAATGTCCAACAAAGAATCGCGTCACGTATACAATTTTCGTTCGTCGAGTTTTGGCACAACTTGTACATACAATGTTCACCCCGCATCATTCGAGCACAACTGCTTCCCAATTCCCTTCCTTCGGTTCAGCGAAACAGAACTCGTTACTCTGGCCGTATATTATCCGTTTAACCGTTTTCAATTGAGAAAGATGCGCGAGAGTAACAGGAGGACCCTAGAGGAGAAAAAACCGTGTTAAACGCGACAAGGAGTGATACACTTGTAAATTGTACCTAATCTAATATAACAAAAGAGCAGTAATGATCCCGCGTGAAATCAAGTGTAATTTCCCAATTAGGAAAAGAAGTTTCGGTTGCAGCTCCTACGTTTGACGAATCTTCTTTACCTACTGATATATCATAATGTATTTATATATATATATACAGACCCATACACGCAACATTATAATTAATTAATTGATTCAACTGCTATTACTCCTATTATTATTATATTATTTATAAGCACATCGAGCCTCGTGTGCTCTCATTCGATCGGCTTCCTAATTTGCGACACTTAGGGTAATGAGCGGGTGGCATCACGATGCTTCGCCGCGACCACTCCTCGAGCCGTGAGATGAGCGTTATTATTATTATTACGATTATTATTGTCATTACTATTATCATTATGATGAATATGTTATTATTACTNATTTATATTTATATATACAATGACTATATTGTACGTATTTTCGGTCAATGACACTGAAGCTAAACCGTTCTGTCCTCGCGATTTTTGTGCCAAATGTTTGGTAATACTCCTCAACGCTAAAGTTAATCGCGTAAAACGTTTCTGGCTTTGATTTTTCGATTGGTTTGAATTAAGGGATTTCAATAGATTGGTAAATCGCGAGGGACGTCGGCAAGACGGTGAAACGCACTCAGCAGATCGTGCCCATTGTTGACCGGTTGACAGGAAATCGGAGCTGCGTTGAGGGAACGCGAAGGGGGATTCTTTAGTGGCCGAATGACGCGAGTTGTAATAATAGGAGAGCGCGTGCGCGTCGTAGGGCAAAAAGTTGGCGCTGGGTTTTGAAACTCGATGACACGTGTAAAGAGTGGAAAGGCTCTTTAATGGCTTCGGTGATCGAACGGGTAATGTATAGGGACAATAGAGTTGGGTGCCATGCGAGATCTCGTGGATGGACGGTCGTTTTGGAGCGTGCTTGGCCGTTAGTATTTTTCACGGTGGACGGAATGACACTTTTGACAATGGTTCGAATGACAATATGGAACAAGGGATGCTGTCGGTAGAGACGTACATGTTTCATTTAGCGGTTAAAACGTTTGAACGTTCGCGAGTAACGCTACGACTCGATATTTCGTTAGGCTTAGGGGAACATAAATTTAACCAGTTAGCTGTGGCGCCCCCTTTTGCGAGCGCGCCACCTATATGTGTCGCCGAAATCAAACGATGACGAGTATACTCGTCAATCACAGAGCAAGTGTCGCTGTTAAGACACTGGATCAAAAAGATGGGTTTATTTTATATAATTGACACTTTTATTACTAATGTATATTTATTTGGTTAACTTAAACGTATATTACATACTTATTAGACGAAAAACGCAAGAGAAATTAAATGCATATGATAGCAAGAATTTAAATTCCTGCCGTGGCGTGGTATTCGGCAAAACAGGGTGTTACACATAATGGGACTTTGCAAAGGGAACACCAGTAACGGGATTCTTTCCTGATCTTGCGTTTATAACAACGTGCACACCTTATATTAGGCCTTGATGGCCGAGTTTGTGTCGAATTTTCCCGTGTTATTGGATATGACGCAATAGTGTCCTCAGCAAATTCTAGCAAAAAATTCATTCGCGATAACGTTTCCATTTTTTTTTTTTTGTATTATATATATGAATTCAAACAAATAATATCTAATAGATGGCAAGCTGTTTCAGCCGGTGCATACGGGGCGCATGAGTTTATCTCAAATTATTTATATTTTTTATTCGTTTGTTTTATTCCGGCCTGGCCTCAAAATATTCTAAACATCTTGAAATTTGAGAATATGTTTTGTTTTTCTCAAAAATTAAATTTTAAATAGCCAATGGTCACTACTTTATACGCATGACGAGTATACTCGTCAATACACAAAATCGTGCCACTTCTCCATTACGAGTATACTTGTCAATACACAAAATCGTGCCACTTCTCCATGACGAGTATACTTGTCAATCACAGTTAACTGGTTAAGAATCAACGTGGGATTTGGTGGTATCCGATATACTGGGAAGATGGGGAGGAATTAATTTGATTGATTGTAGAAGTTGCGCAGGGCCATTCGAGTACGTTCTGCTATGTTAATAGATACAAGATGAGTCTTGTAAACATCCAAAAACCCTGGGATTTAGTTGCTCCGAATGCACGCCCATTCTTTGATGAACTGCAAATCACGATCACTGGTACTGCCCTCACTAATAGAACCATGTATCGTGGTAGACTACTGTGAGCGTTGCCTTCGTATTTCTATCCGGATGATTACTCGCTCGATTGGTCGTTGCCAAAAACTAAGTTCCACCGATTTTGGATCCTTTCATAAGATTCATCATGTACATTGGCGAACATGAATGCCTTCCCATCATGCATTGCCGTTACCGTGTTCGCAGGGAAGGCATTCGTGTCCTCCGCTGTACATCGTGCGCATTCTCACCAGCACCATAAGAATTCCGAACCACGCCGGAAATGTAGAAGTCAAGCCTATCTTACGAGACAATTATTATGGTATCTAAACGTCCACTTATTAATTTCCTGACCAAATTCATGTAATAGAAGGAAACCGATATCTTCACTATGGAATATTTCGAAGGTAGATGTACAGAGTGGCCAACAAAATTCTGTTATATTTGTCAGTGTTTACTAGAAATTACGGTATAAATTTAGAACTTCGACATTGGCAGAGAACATTGCTGGAAAAATACATTGACAATATTATTACGAAAAATACAACAACGGCTAAGGGGTTGAACGGGAAAGCACGTCCAGAATTAGCGGCCATCCCCGCGACCGCGGCGCAACAGGGTTCGCGCCCACGTGGAGCAATAATTTCTAAGCACGCCTCTTTTGCATTATAAACTCGCACGGCATTTGCGTGTACGAACTCATACGGGTGTTACACGGGAGAAACGGGAACGCGCCCACAAAACGTAGCCGTGAGGGGCTGTTTGTAGAGAATTCTCGATCAAGCCGAGAGGGGAAGATGCGAAGGGGCAACCGCACCAAGGAGAGACCAAACTCGCTTAATTAAATGATTACCTACTCGCTTTTTATTTATTTTATTATTAATTAATTAATTAATTATTATATTTATTTGCGTGGAGAGGCCGACGCACGGCCGAGCCACCACCGCCGCTCTTGATAAATCGAATTGTTGACACTAATCTATTGTTACTTAACTAATATTGTTCCAGTTAAGAGAAGCGAAATAAAGGCCATTCATTAAACGAAGGACACGTGTGTGTGCGGGTGTGAGTGTATGAGCACGCGAGGGTGGATGCACACATGACGCGGATGTTGTCCTTTGCGTGATGCACGAGTTTTGCAATGTACTAAACCATCAATGACAAGGGCCGAGTCACGAGAGAGAAAGGGAGAGAGAGAGCGGGAGGGGGGTATCCGCAAGGCGAAGAATTTGATGAAACATTGAAGGAATATTTTGCGACGAAAAGAACCGTCGACGGTCTGGCTGGTTCAGCAAACAGACCATGGGTCTTATGTTTAACTCCATTACCTAACTATTGCATAAAGCCGACCAGACGTGTGTGACTTGATTTTTTTTTTTTTTCAACAGAAATTAGAATATTTTCAGAAAGTGTTTCATCAATATCTCCGACCGAACGTCATCCTTTCTCTAGAGTTTATTTTACCCTGCTTGCATGGTCACGTCACGGTAGCGTCGCGTGTTACGGAGGAAGAAAATGTCTCATGGAATGTATTGGATACCAAGCTGCGTTTCGCCCCAAGTCGGAACGCGAGTTACCTTAACCCTCTATGGGCCCGTGTAACTTTCAGATCACATTTTAAATGAACAATTTTTTTTCATTTGCATATATAGGTTCCAAATTGCTGATTTTTCGTTCCCCCAATTTTTTTTTATTTAAAACAAAAATTCGGCCCATAGAGAGTTAATGCAAACTAATCACAGTTCCTCGTTTTTCAATTGGTCACGTGCTTCGTAGAACTGAAACGCCTCAAATTCGTTACGTTTACCGGTTCGGTTTGGTACTTATGGTTTGCAAGAGGGAAGAAGTGTACCGCGAAACCATAAGAAAGGCGAAAGGAACCGGGCATTAAAGCTCGAGCTAAGAACTTAGGCATGCCTAGAAGCACGGTCCTACAGAGTCTAGTTCCGAAACGTTGAAAACCTGCTGATCCATTTTTGCTGATCATATGTAAAGGGCCGTCCTGTCCTTCCGAACGTTAAGAGTTCCCTCAAAATAAGAAAAAGAAAGATATACCTTTTTGTACAACAGCGGAGAGGATGGACCAAGCAGGGATCCACGTGTTTTCCAATTCCCATTACTGAATTTAACCCTTTGTACTTGCGAGGCAACTGAAGTTACTAAGGGCAATGCATGTGGAAAAAGCTTCGAGTGCAAAGAGTTAAGAGGTTTCCCTACTCTTGACGGACAATAAATAAAGTGGTTTTGATATATTACAAATTTTAAAAAACTAAGTCTTATTAACTTAAAACTTTCTGGAGATATTTAATTACATTTTAAGACGTCATACTTTTTTTAAGCAAAAATATTCAATCGTTCCAGAATTATTTGTAATCTTTACGGTAACCGTAGAATCTACTGCTCATGGAAATTTGATCCACAAAAAGCAAAAAGGTTTTGAATCTACATAAGTACAGTTATCGTTGGAAGTGGAATTACGTAAACATATCTAAGAACTAAAATGACATGTTGAAGAAATGTTTTAATTATTTGCAAAAAAAACGATTAATTTTTGGAGTCACATATTTCGAATTTTACATGGACTTAAGAAATTCCAGTCCAACAACTGGACATCTAGTAAAAATAATTGCAAAATTTCAAGTAGATTCGATCATTCGTTTCTGAAATACTACGGTTACCAATTTAACAAATACTGCTTCGAGAAAAACGCGAAAAATAAGAATTTCTTCAAGTTTGACTTGAAAAGAAACGGTATAGTCTTAAAATGTGGTTAAACGTGTCCATTAAGTTTCAAGTTAATAAGAGGTATAATTTTGTATTTTTTATTCGGAAAAATTATCTTATTTTTTGGTTGTTAAAAATAAATAAGAATTTCTTCAAGTTTGACTTGAAAAGAAACGGTGTAGTCTTAAAATGTGGTTAAACATTAAGTTTCCATTAAGTTTGAAGTTAATAAGAGGTATAATTTTTTACTTTTTATTCGCAAAAATTACCTTATTTTTTGGTTGTTAACCCTAGAGAAGCCCCTTAATAGTACACATCCGTATTCCTTCCTCCCTTTCGTTCTAGCAGTTTTTAACACATGTTTCCGTGATTAGAGCTCCAAATGGCTCGGCTGTGCTCGGATCCTTTGTGCTTGGATAAAGAATGTACGCGTCGTAACTGTGCGTGAACTGGCAGGGTGAATCGTTGCAAATGACGAAATTGTAACAACAATCAATAATGTACACACACCGAGTGATTCGCT